GTCTTCTGCGTTTAGAAAACGTTTTTTTTTTTTACATAAATACATTAAGTGAATACTTAATTATCTGATTACAGCTTCATATATTCGAGGCAAGGATATGTATTTTGCTCTGGTACATTGACAATGATATCTTTTGCGTTTAGAAAAACTTTTATTTCAAATAAATACAGTGAGTGAATATGAAACTCTTGTGGGAAAAGATATTAGATGAATAATTCTATTCTCAACAATGATTTGTAAATAGTGGAATGAGCTTTATTAATTCACAAACGCTTACAGACGTGGCGAACTGCAATCTTACTCGACTGCAAATCTATGATCAACTGAGCTGTTGGCTTCTCCAAACTTTTATCCATTAGTCCTAAACAAGGACAGGAAATTCGTTTTTCTTGGTAAAAAACAATTAATTTTAGGAAAAATTCCAGGCCAAGGAAGTTCCAGAGAAAATTGCTTATAACCTTCTCGAGGGTTAGTCCTTGCGCGAGAGGTCGCCAGATATGGGATCCGTTGCTGACAAACGTCATGCAGATCCCTACAATAAAAATCCTAAACATCCCTGTCTATACCTGACAGGGGATGCTAACGGCGAAGTCGTTACATTCTGATTGCAGTTTCTTACGTTCAATGCAAAAACGCATATGTATGTATTTTTCTCTTATAGAATGTCTTCTGCATTTAGAAGGATTTTTTTTGTACTTAAATACAATAAGTGAATACTTAATTCATGATCATAGCGTTTTGCGCTAGATGCAAGGATATGTATTTTTCTCTGGCAGATTGACAATAATGTCTTCTGCGTTTAAAAAAACACTTTTACTTTGAACAAATACAATAAGTGAACATTTCACCTTTTGATTGCATGATGAGATAAACTGTTTTTCATGTTTCCTGTGTTCTTGTACATTAGTTTCTTTATTCTTTGTCGCTTATGTAGCAATATTTAAATTAATTTTTAGCACAGGTCCATTGGTGAAAGAATGTTATTATAACAGAGATAAGAATGACAGATCGAAACTGTACAGCGTTTGATTCTATTAATAAGTAATAATCGTCGGAATATTGTGTTTAAAGTAACTTTTACTACACGCCCATTGGTGCAAGAATATTACTTACTTCCATCAGATAAGAACGATAGATTGCAACTGTTCAGCATTTCATTCTGTTAATGAATAGGTATAGAAAGATTGTTTAAAGCAATTTTTCTAATACTTGTCACTTGTTGCAATCTTGCAGCTGCATGTAACATGCTACATTCTCCAAGTATGGATACGTAAAGCAGTTGTGCATTTTTCTTTTTTTCACGCTGGCTACACGTTAGTTATAGTCCAGCAGTATATCGACACCCAACTGAACGCGCAGATAGGAGAAGTTAATTAAAAAGTCAATCAACTTGACAAGAGGAATAAAAGCACCACGTGGAATTCTCTACGGTCGGAAAGAAGAAATAACATGCAATATACACTGTCCGAAATTCTCATAAAGACACAATATGCTTTCAATGAAATTTTATAACGTTGCTAAAATAATCATTATTTTGTAAATCATGTCGTTTTGAGATTTATTAAAAAAACTCTGATACCATGTTTCATACAATGATTGATGCAATAGTTGATATAGCAACTAGTGCAACGTTTCATTTAACGATTACAATATTTGATATAAATAATTCATATAATGATTGATATACTGCTATGTAATTGATATACTGCTCGAATCAGTGTTCCATTTAATGGTTGATGCAATAATTGATATAGTAGCGGATGCAATGTTTCTTCTAATGAACAATACAATGTTTCATACAAATAATTCATATAATAATTGGCACAGCAATTGATACAATGTTCCATATAAAGATTGGTGTAGTACTTCATATAATAACTGTTATCATATCTGTAATAGTTGATACAATAACTTTTAGATGAAAATTAATGCGATATTTCACATATGTATATTATCCACCTCACGTTTCTATAAATCACTTGAAGCTCCCATAAAAGTATAAATGTGCACAGTACATTCATTACGCACTGACCTTTCAATGTGAGAAGTATGCTTTTAATTAAACTGAGACCGGGTATGATAAGTTCCATCCGAAAACTAAAAAGTAAGGGAGAGTCGAAAAAAGTGGCGAAAAGGTGAGGAAAATAAAGGAGTCGGTGGATACGCGGACGTTTTAAAAAGGTTTTAACGAGCGGGAACCTTCGTCAAGCGTCGATACGAAAGACGACGTAGAGTGGATTGCGGGCCCAGGCTAGGCCAGGCGCAACTTCTCTGTTGGTCGCAGAACGACGCGAAGTAATTAAATGCAGAGAAGGGGAACCGGGCGAACGCGAAGGGCTGGTCGGGTGTACCAAGGGAGGGAAGAAGGCTGCGAGGGCGTTCCTGAAGCCACTCCCCGGCTTCTCCACCACATCCTACGAATACGAACTGGATACGAACCTGGTTCTCTGAAATCTCGTCTTTTATTCTATACAGGGTGTGCAAACAGACTCAATAAACATGACCCGATCTCCTTTGCTATTTTTTACACCATTTATACCGGAGAACATTATAGAGAATTTTTGGGAAAAAATTTCGAAATCAGGATTGTCTTAAAAATCCAAGAAAAGAGATTCTAAATTAAGATAAGTGTGGCTAAGCAGCTTTTAAGGAAGAGCAGTCGCGCTCAATTTAAAACGAACTCACATCTACATAAAACAATCTAACAAGAACACTTCTCTCATTTTTTGCAACATCGACTTTTGCAACTTCTCGAAAACGACTATTGCAAGCCATCTGCATTGTTATAATATATTTTATTTCAATTTTTTAAAAAATTTTTGGACGAGAGTGTATATCAGTCACGGTTTGCATCTACGAACTCCGTCCATTCATTTTTTAACACGCATAAAACTGTCTCAACGAATTCCTTCCGAAATGTCACTTCACCGCGTTTATTTCTTCGAATCGTACAACTGAAATCTGCTACTATGAATGTTTTTAATATTTAATACCAAAGCCAAGTAATGTTCACTTGAATAATCTCAGCTAGCTTAAAATAGTTTCTTTTAATAAATTCTACGTAATAATAAAACAAAATAATATATAGATATATGAATACCGATGTAAAATGACGAAGTATAGTTGTAGCTATTAGTTTTTTTATTAATTAAACGTATTAATTTATTTGAAATTCGTAGAGGAAATACAATTAGACACGTTAGGACCAAACACTTTTTTCAACTTTAAGATCAGAATAAAAAAAGAAATAATATTGTACGTAAAAATGGTTATAAATAAAGTTAAAATAAAAATAATTATTGATAACGGTTGTTTATTAGTATTCTACATCTTTACATTAATAAAGTAAATACTTGATGATCTTACAATTAGTAGAAATACAGACATGGCTTGAGTAAAAGTAGAAACATGATTTTCTTACTCGATAGAAATACAGACATAAGTAAGTAGGAATAATGACATCGAGTTTTGAGTGAGTAGAAATATGGACATTAGACGTACGTACTTCGAACCTTCATTTTACAAGAAAAATTTATTGTAAATGATTTTGTGTCTGACTTATCTAATTATTGAATTCCACGAATGAAAGTAGTCTTCATTATAAATTTTGACTCGCATATTGTTTTTTATATTCAATTGATAGCCGAATCATGCTTAGCTGAGTAGAACATTCAGAAATTTGCCTTATGTCGATAGGTTTGAGAGACGTAAAATTTAGACAAGTATTTAATATTCGAAAAGTTTTCCTTTATTTTTCAATGTACACAGACATACAGGGTGTTCTCTAAATATAATACTGTTAATTGCTCATACTTTCTCGGTTTCAATTAAAATAACTTCAACACATTTTTGATATCTTAAACCATGCACAAATAAACCATAAAAGAATTTTTCTAGTCACTTTTTGCAAACTTATTTTAGATATAAATATCTTTAAAAAGCTTCTTGAGGAATTAGTTTTACTTGAATGTTTAGATGACAGAATACACCCTATAAATATCCACTTTGATCTGATTGCTACCGAATTACTTAGGTACCTGTCGATGTTTCAAAGCGGATATGAAAACACATATTCCGGAAATGATCAACGAGTGCATTTAATCGACGCATTTACGGTAATTAAAGCCGCGCAACAACAAGGTGCGGTCAGGTGTGGTCGTGGCTCTCTTAGCTGCGACCCGGTGAACGTATTCGCAGATTGGCTCTCGTAAATTGCCGCGTTTCATTTGACACGCTTCGAATAGAAGTAAGTAGCTATATAGTAGCTATACGCTCGTATCTTACCGTCTGTGGTTTTTACTGACGTGCCCAAACGTCAAGAGTACGTGGACGGTGTCTATTATCTTTGATTGACTCCTTAATTAGAGATTTATACGGAAACCAACCGTCCGAAGCCAGTGCACAAACGTGTTACATAATCAAAATTACGACACACACACGCACATATATTAAAATTATGGACGTACCGTGTCTGTTTTCTTAAAATAAGCTGCTCGTTCTTTTGATATTTTAATATCCACGTAAAAATAATTATATGGTGTATTGTAACTGAATTGTACATTGCACGTACAATTTTACGTGCACGTTCATTACAACGGATGAAAAAATGCTGATTTTTCTATAACGAATTCGAAAATCTATGTAAACTATTCTAATTGTTCGAATTTGCATTTATAAAACAGATTCGCAATACGTACATATCTGTACGTTTAAAGCTAAAACTTCTATGCATTTAAATAAATGTGAACTTTGAACTACTGCCTCATTAAATATTTGATATAATTACAATCGACGATTAAATATTAATATTATTAATAAACTGCGGATTTTATGCATTTATAGAAGAATTGGATAAAGGATGCATGTATTATACAAGAAATTAGTAGATGTAATACACATAACAACTTTTGAAACCATAATTTACATCTCATTCTTGAAATTGATCACGAAGTTTTATTTTGCACAAAAATCCGCAGTGAGTGAAATGAAATTGCACTTACCAGTTTCGAGATCAACGGTATAGGGAAGACCTGCCCAAGGATCATCCTGTGGTTCTTCATATTCTTTTGCATCTTTCTGCAAATCGAATTCAATGGAACGTATTTCCGTCAATTAAATGCAGCTTAATTGGTAAAGAGTGATTCATTTAAGAACGTCGACAAGTTTGAAAAGAGGGAACAAGAGGGGAGTCAATATTTAATAGCAAGGTGTAGAAATCTGGAAAAGTGGAGTAGATGTTGGGAAGAGGAGGAAGGAAGAGGATAAGTTTGATATTTAAGAACACTGGGTGAGGGTTTGTTGGGAAGTAGAAAGAGATACAGAGGAAGTAGTTAACGGAGGAAGAGATAAAAAGGAGGGAAGGATAGTGCAATGAAGGGGCAAAAGAATAAAAATAGCCAAAGGACAAAATTAGTAAAAGCTAAGTAATAAGGACGAATAGCAGACTATAAAACTTAAATGACATGAAATATACACGGTGGTTCATTAATTATTATTATTTGTAACAAAGAATGTTTATGTATAATGGTTTTTCGATATTAATAGCATAATACGTTTTTGTATTTCGTAGAGGAGCTTCATCAATCAGTGCAGAAAAACTATACAATTTATTTATGATGATTTTCATATCTCTACTACGTCTACCTACAAAGTATCTTAGACCAAACTATACCTCTCTCGGAACTGTTCAAACATTCTTTGCTGTGTATAACAATAACGACAAAAATCAAGGGGGTAATATCTGGTGAACCACCCTGTATATTACTGTGTATTTAAATCATAGAGAGATACAGTTACATACATACATATACAAATTATGTATACATACGTGTGTAGATATAGAGAATAGAATAATGACAGTGCGAGTGTAGAATGCGTGAAAGGACTAAGTGCATCGTTACGATAGAGATGTAATAGGCAGGATATAGTAAACTAAGTTTAATTTTCTTGACTGTGAGACTGAAAAAATAAAGTATTATCATTATTATTTTTATTATAAACATGTTCGATGTTTCAAATAATGAATGATAAGATACATACTAATGTAATACTCCTTGTTTGTGATACAATTTCAATTAAGAACGCAATACTATTATTCATTATTTTAGATAACAGCTGTGAATCATGTAATAATGTAATGCTTCTTCTTTGTAAGCAGGCCGCAATTGGCAATTGATTCTTCTTCCAACGGAACAGATGATGAAAATCTCTTATATCAAGATACCATTTAAAATCAACGTTAAGTTGTTGTCAAACCGACGACCGATAACAAAAGCTATATTTTAAACAAGAAAGACGCAGGATAGCCAGTCGTGGAGTTCAATAAAAGTTCTGTCACGAATGAAGTCATTTTGAAATTTGGAGACGGCATTCGACTCGGGAATGAAAAAAAGAGCGTTCTCCGTTGATAATGAAAGGGATCGGGAACGACGGCCGCGCAACAATGCCTGAATTCACTCGGATGGCATTCAACGATCGTCAAGGTCGGCGATCATAGAGACGTCATAATTAAGGGATCCTAACGGCGAGGGAGAGAGATCGTAACGTGAAAAAGAACTGGAGGGCGTCCGAGACCCATAGATCGGCCATGCTCGTGTTATATACGAGCCGCAGTGAAATGAGTTTAATGAAAATAGCATTGTACCCGATCATTAATCATAGCGACTCTCTCCCTGATAGCGGCTATCCAATCCGCTGCTAGCCTCTCTTTCTCTCTCCCCGTTTTCTGTTCGAAGCTTTTCATCCCTCTCTATCGTTGCTTCAGTCTCTTTTTCATTCTGCGCGATGTGTCGTCGTTGAGTGCGTTATACGAAGATCCGGGGGTTATGAATACGAGCCTCGATCAATCCTCACTCACCCCTTCGGTATCGAACAACACCCGCGAAATGAAACTAAGTGCATCGTCGGTTACGAGTCATCAACGACTAGCGTGCATTCTTCCGGTTATTCCTTTCCCCAGTCTCTCGAGTTTCCACGATCTCCTTTTCTTTTTTTAAATTCTGCTCTGAATACTTTCATTACAGAAATTAATATTCGGTTCGTCGGTATACAAGTGACTGAATAAATAATAATCATGCATTATTTGCACAAAAACCGCTATTTATCGGAAACGGCACGTGATGAAGCATTTCTGCTTCCTGACTCCTTTTTAGCAAAAGAGACTCTATAATAATTACGTGGTGGATATTGGAAAAAAAAAATGTGTTATACAGTGTAATGAATGACTGTACGGTTTCTAATTATTTGTTAAAAAGGTATTTGATCCACCAAAGGGATACTATTGATCCACTTCAAATCATGGATCTGTTTTAACGTTCAGGCAATTCGGTTCAATATGATGAAACTATTTTTTATTAAAATTTCTGAATCTGTACTAAACTATCAGGATCACTCGAACTTGTATTGATCTCTGCGAATATACGAAATCAATGGACCACCGTCCAGGCTATTCAAGTTGCTAAGTTAATGCCAGTCACGGTCCCGTGAATAATTCGTAACCTGTCGTCTTTTCGGTTTTGCAATACAACCCGAGCCTGGTACCTTTCATTCTGCTCCTATTTCGATATCGACAACTTCGGTTCTTGATTATTTAACTACAAATCGATGTTGGCTCGCAATGAAACAAGATCAGAAACTATTCTTTACTTTAAAAATTGATAGAACAATGATTTATTTATCAACAATGATTTAAAATGAAATTCAAGGAAGAATATGTGTACATTCTTCAATCGGAAATACGATTAGGAATTCAGACAAACTAATGACGTTTCCATAAAAAAGAAGCAAGATCGAAGTAAATGTCTCGATAATCGAAAATGATTTTCTGCTGGTATTTAAATAAGGCAGAAAGGATTGAACATGATTCCGAAATACGGTGCGCCATTTTGTTAGTAGAAATTTCATCGGACAGAAACAATCAGGGAAGGAGGCCGAGCCCACTTCGGTTCGCTGGGCGCGTTTTCAATTTCCAGGACCATCAATACGTCCCTCGGAATCCCCCTGCCATGTTGCTCCAATCTCTCCCTGCTCGCCCTCTCGCCGTTCTTCTTTTATACGAACTCCGCCGTCTCTTTTTTCTCCCGCGACCAACCGGCTTTCTTCCCCGAACCCTCATCCTTTCCGAACTCCCGCCGGATGCCGCCCCACGCCCGGAGGGATGCTGCGTACACATCTATCATTTCGACGAACCCTCCGCGATTGCATCCCCCCCGTCAACAAACGAACGCCAGTCCGCTTTTATGAATACGCTTTAGCTACCGAGGGGATGAGAAACGAGCCGTTGTTTTCACGTTCCCTCTTCCGTATCCCGAACACAGTTTCATCTCGATCCTTGCCAAAATTCTTGGATTTCGTTTTTGTAATTAAAACTAGACGTCCATCACAGAGTCTTTCTATCGAATAGACAGAAGGATTTTCTTACGTGAGAAGGAGTTGAGATATCCAAAGAGTCCTGTGCTCGTAAAGCCAGTAGAAGAGCTTCAGCGAGATTGTAAAATTCGTCATAAAAATTAGTATCTGATATTTGTTGCGGTCACTCAACAAGAAAATACTTTTTTCGAAATTCTTGGCTGCAAGAATCTGTGAATTCCCAGATATACGAAAAACACAATCAGAATTTTCAGAATTCTCTTCAGTGGCAATCGAACATTCGGACATTTGAGAGCGAGTTTTCAGAAGGAGACCAAGTGAGTTTACTTCGGCCCGACTCTGACCCGTTTTGAGAACTAAATCCTATCTGACATTATTATCTCGGTAGTTAAGCTCCAATAAGTTCTTTGATAAGCCGAATTTTACGATCTGGCTAAAGCTCATCCACTGACTCTACAAGTCTCCTCGTGCCTGACTAGTTGGAAACGAATTTTGAAATAGTTCGTTCAGTCCTTATCTGTTATCCAATATTACATACACTAATAAATAATCAGAAACAAGAGTAAAACGTAATTAACCTGTGGTTCGACAATACTTTACGTTACGGTTCGTCAACAGTACGATTTAATCGTTTCTCTAGTAGCGAGAAAGTTCTCAGTAATAAGGATAAGAAAACCGCGCTTAATCAGTAGGATTTTTTCACAATTATCGAAAGAATAGTGTATAAATAGATCAATGTACTCAACATTTCTATTAGAAGAACTTACGACAAGATTTAATTTGAGACGAAAACAGGTTAGAAATTTTATTTACGTTACGGAAAGATGAATTTTATTTAGACCATGAAAGAAGACAATCGTACTTTTTTGGATAGTTCGCTGTCGATCAAAACAATTTGAAGCTCGAGCGTCGCGAGACAATGGTTGTCGATACGCGAGCAAAGAAATTGTGGAGACGGAGATGGAATGGACCAGGGCCTTTGTTCTCGGGTGTTCGCGAGGATCGATTCGTCCACTTTCGATCGGGATCTTCTCCGTATTATCGGGGAAGACGGTCGGTGTGCCCTCACAAAGGTGGAACCCGGTTGGAACAATGCGATCCTCGAGGAGGAAGAACCCGAAAGGCGAACCGGGTATAGATAGTCGACGTAAAGAAAGGAGGGACACCACCGACTACCACCGAAGGTCGTGAGAAGAACGGAGAACCGACGGGGGAAAAAGAGCGATAGAGGCGAAGAGAAAGAACGTCGGGAAGTCTGATGGGTTACCCGCCCAGAACGTCGATGCATCGTCATTCTCGGTGACCGTGGCGAGCTTCGAATCTCGTTGATACTTAAATGCTGTTCGTGACCATCCACTGAAACGCGTCAAACCAAGGGAATCGGATCCGAAAAAACTCGTGTCGTCTGATAGAAAGTGAATTGAATCGATCGCGGTGCTTAGGAGGAAATTACGCATCGATGAGCAGAGAACTGTGCAATGATTGAATCGAATTCGTTCGGCTAAAATCGCTTCGGTACAGTTAGAAGATGGTTCAATAACTATCTATGTCCACATTGTACATATCTGCGATCAAAGCGAAGAATCTGATACGATGTATTGTATAAAGTTTCTTTCACAATCTTTAATTCACTGTGTCAATAAAAATCATTATACGATCTGTGATCAAAGGAGAGAATTTGATATAATTTTTTAAATAAAGTCTGTATCATGTACAGTTCTTAATTCACTGTATCGATTGAAAAACATTAATTCCTGTAATTACATGAAAGAGTCTGTTATCACTTTTCAGACAAAGCCTGTTTGATTCACAGTCCCGAATTTATTATATCAATAAAAATTGATGAATTTTATACAATCTATGATCAAACGAAAGAATCTGCCAGTTGTTTTCACATAAAGTTTGTTTGATTTCCAGTTCTTAATTCACTGTATTAATAAAAATCATGAATTTTTGCATAATCTGCAATCAGCCTAAAAAATTATTCATTCTTTTATATAAAACTATTTGATGTATAGATTCATCGATAGAAAATTGTATTTATCTTATCATATTTGAATTACTTTCTGAAGCATGTACGTCTCACTGGATTAAATGAGAAATGGTAAAAGGTATGGTAAAGGATTAATTGAGAAAATGGTAAAAGGATTAATGAACAGTCGGAAGAGTAGTGATTTGAAAATAGCGGTAAGGTAAGGGGGTTAAGGATTCGATCGCATTAATACTCGGGCAGATAGGACTATGAGAGGCAAGCGATCCGTGTCGATAGATCGATATCGACTGGTGAAGTCGACGGTGAGGCATCAAACAAAGCTGACGCCACTCGCTTGGCTAACAGAAGAATTCGGCACTCGGGGTGGCTATCTCTTTACAATCTATCGACCGACTGTTTAGCTTCAATATCATGGAATAACTTGTTCCAATCGCGTGTCTAAATGCATACTTCTTTCGTATCGATTGCATTTAAAATCATTACATTATTTTGCAAATTATTATTATGTTCGTTTGAACATTCATAATGAATCTTCCATTATGAAATATGATTAGTAGACTGTGGATTTTATGCAATTGTAAGATAACTGAATGTACAGAATTGATAAACGTGACTTGGAATGTATAAAACAATTCAGAATATTAAAAACAGAATAGATAATTAAAATGTGATTTGAAATAAGGTCGTATTTTTTTTCCTTATTTTGTCGCACTGATTCTATTCCCGAAGTTATGCCCACTATTTCGGAAAAAACCCTTCACATTGAATATCAATAATTACACAGGCCAACGATGAAAAATCTTTTTAAATGAATTTACTTTATGCTCGCGGTTTTTAGTGTGTTGAATCCGAACATGACAATAAAAAAATCGTACCACCCATCATTTTTTCATATTCAATATTTAATATTTAAAGAAATGAATTTTTTAGCGTCAATTGTTAGTCATTCATGAAGAGACGTTAAACAATGGCTAGTCGTAAAGCTTATGTAAGTAATAAAGATATGTTGTAATGTTTATTAAAATGTTGGCTAAAAGAGATTTTGAAGAGTTATTTATTTTCGGCCTGTGTTACGTGAGGGTCTTTAAAATTAGTATTTTTCTATTTACGATTGGAATCAGTTGTAAACCATAACGCTACTTTCTTATAGGATCTTTAATTCTTATCAAATCTCCGCATGTGGTAATCGTTCGACTGTATTATAGTACATTGGCCGTCGGCATAATCCCACGGAACCCGTAGAAACCATGTTCGGCAGACACCGAAAAGATTAAGCCACAGGGAATCATCCCACGCGCTCTCGGATATGATCTCGGTCGATGTTTCGGAACCCGAAACTATCAGCTTTTCATCTTGTCTTTCCTCTAATTCTCTCGTACGTGAGAATACTTACGAACATTATCTTATCTCCTTTTTTCATACCTGAAAATTATCTTCATTCCATTCCGCATAATTCCTCCATTTTTACTGATACAGTTAATTGTTTTGCCAAGCATTGTTAGAGAGACTTTATTTCGAATATATTTAAAAAGAAACGAATCTCAGATTATAAAATGAGTCGCGAGAACAAATTCTGTTTGGAGATAAATTTTTCTGAAGAATCAAACGACGAAGAATTATTCCCATGAAACAGGCAAGCGAGGTACTACGACATACTATTACATCCGCGGAGACTTTCTATCGTTAAACTGGCAAGGAAAGATACAAAAGACGGAAAGGCTGGATGTCAATCTGTCGGAAAAGATACGTAAGAAACGCGAATTTCAGTTGCTCGACGCAAACGGGAGAAGAAAACGTACTCTGCCGCGTGAAAGTGTTCGAAACTTCGATAAACAATGTGTCATTAATTGCTAATTGCGGCCTGCAAACGGGAGAAAGCGTCGCAGGTAACGAGGCTCGGAATGCGACACCAACTCTTTGTCAGGATCAAATATTAGCTTGTCCCAACAGTACCTTTTGCTTTATTAATAAATGCGAACTTTATGCATTTACAGACGATGTGAAACAAATACAAAGAATGTGTATGATATGTACGAATACACTATTAAAACTGTTCTTAAACGTCGTAATATGCATTTTGCTATTAATTTTCTTAGGAATGCATAAAATCTGCAGTCTAGTTCTTAATACATTTAAAGACGACGAAGATAATATGTCGAGAAGTAAGAAGATAACATGAAGGTTGTCTGTCATTGACAGACTGCAAAACTTTATGCAAAATGAAACGTTTATAAGTTTAAAAAATGTGTTTTACATAAACATTTGTATGATGATGTAAACATTGAATTATGTATCCAGCGTTTGATATTCTGAACCGTTTAATACCTTACACACATTTATCATTTCTGCACAATCAATTTTCTTGTAATTGTATAAAGTCCGCAGTGTAGTTATTAATACATTTAAAGACAGAGAAGCTAATATGAGTAATAAAGAGATGACACAACGATAATAGTAAAAAGTTGAACTGTTAATAAAGAATTGAACGTGTATAATGTTATAAAGCGTGTACATACCTTTTCGTTGTTTGCGTTGATAGCTTCCAGAGCTTTCAATTTTTCGATCTCATCGTCGGTTTCCTTTTCCAACGTGGACGACTTTTTTGTAGTCGTCGTCGGTTCTGCCAACGTGAATCCGAGATCCACGTCTTGTTTCCAGAGCACCTCGATCAAATCCATGTCCTGAAACAACGTAAGAGAGTTCGTTGAAAAATAATTTAATCGATGACAATTACTCAGCTGGAATTGTGTTTCTAGAATCGTTTCTACAGTGTTTACGCAGAAAAATTTTAATATTATAGTTGGAGTTCGTATGACTCTTATAAGGTCGTATGTAAAAACGAGCATTTTCAACTAATTTTTTAGGCAACCTGGCCAACCTAATGGAAGGTTTAATCCTAATCAATGAATTCAGTATCAAAGATTTATTCAGGTTTTTTAGATAGGGAATTAAAATTTAAAGGAAGCTTATTTCTCATTGAAATTGTCATACAAAAACTGACATTCTTCTACTTAAAATATGATTATCGTAGGCAATGTCAGGCGAGGACAGTCTGACTGGCCTCTTGCAGATGTTTTACAACTTAGCACATGCGGAAAGTGTTTAACAGCATGAAACGACCGGCGCTGGCCAGGTCAGGCCAGATCATAAAAAAGAAAGCGTTACTGGACGGAAATAGAAGGCACGTTTTCCAACCCTCTACGTACTCAGGTCATTTTTTTGAAGTCAACTTCTGCCTGGACGGAGAGCTCTTGGTTCTTATACTAGCTACTTAAATATACTTATATTAATATAATATTAAATTGAAAATCGTGCATTGATCACGCCCAGAACCACCCTGATAGTCCTACATTATATAAAATGTTATTCATTTATTTGCATGTAGTATGATCTGTTATACGAGACATTCTTTACAGTCTAAATAAGAGTATGTTTCATAATTCTTTTCAGTAGTTCTAACTACTACTAATCTAACTCGAAAGAACCACTTTACGTCCTGTGTACATTTATTATACATAGGTTAATAACGTCTGATCTCGATCACGTTGTTCACCATCGAAATCATCAAGACAGATTTCTTTTTTCGATCCACGAAATTGTCGCTCCCATCGACGAGTGTGTACGTACAAAAGTGCATGATTAATGATGAACGAGTATCGATGCATCTCGAAATGGAGGAGATCGAAACGAGAAGAAAGAAGCTGGGAAAAGGGACCAATCACATGACGGGGCAAAATCGTCGACGGGACAGCTGGCCCCGTAGCTTTTAATTGAACCAATTTCGCCGAGTTCCTCTTCAACCTCGTTAACTAATCTACAGATTTTCTTCGCCAATCGGAACTCGCTCGTTAATATCCAATGGTAAAGATAATCTATCTTAATTCGCTAGATTTAATCGACATGATTGCTTGTAGAAAATTTATTTTATGACAAGACTGTCATTAATCATTAAGTTTATAAAAATTTTATTAAAATAAATTTGTAAAAATACATGATCTTGACTGACGTATCAACGCCCAGTCTAAGCCCTTGAATCGATCGAGTTCAAATTTTAAAAATATATCTTGGAGGTGCACACTAACGCGGTTTTTACGAAATTCCATTCTTAACCCTTAATTAACCTTCAGACCCCCGATATTAGCGTATACCCTGATAAACTATACACATTCTTTCGTTTTACAACTTTTTGTGCTATTAAGTTAAAATCATATTAGGAATAGGCGACCACGAACTGTAACATTTCCCAGCGCTTAATAGAATTATTGCCTTTTTCAGCGCTGGGCTGAATTGTTCTTCAGTAATCGATCGAGTTAATAGGTTTTTCGTTACTTTTTCTATCGCTCGCCTTAAATTCCATTTAACAGAACGGAATTCACCTTCGTTTCTAAAAAACTATTAAAACTACAAATAAATTTAGATACGTTGTCATATTGCTAGTAAAATATACTACGAAGACCACCTCTTCGGTTTTTTCTAATGTTTATGGAAAAAAATGATAGTAGAAATAATCGCGGACACCCTGCACACATACGCGTAATTTCAGGCAGAATCGTTGTACGGTTATGTGCGTGTATGTAATACTCGCAACGCGGTAAAGATAGAAAGAGAAGAAAGGGGAGAGAGGCTGTTTGGCACGCATGGCCATTAATCTTTAGGCATCGTTATCGGTGATCGCAAATTTGAACAGGACGCATCGGAACCGGGAGGGTAACGGATATGTTTCTGCATCACGCTCGATCACGGACGCGGCTTCGAAAATTACTTCACTGAGCGTGTAATTTGATGCGCCGCGCCGCGCTGCCGCGGGTGGAACGAGAAAGAAATGGAGGCGACGGCACGGCGGCGCGGCGTGGGTGTGCATGGGGTCGGCCATGCTGGAGGGACACAGCGGGATATCCGCCGCGCCCACAGCTGCTCTCTCCTCCACACATTTTCTCCTCTCCTTTGACTCTCGTTTCACCTGGCACCGAGTCCGCTCCAATGATATCGACGCCTTTCATTTTTATTCGATTAGCCGAGATCAACCGGCGAGACATCCAATCCAATAAACTCTACTAAAGACACTCCATTTTTCATTTCCAGTTACGCTTCTCTGTTTCCCTAGACGCGGACGTAGACTAGAATGTTCGTTTGTAACAGAGACAGCGAGTACGCTGTTAATATGCGAATTTCGCAAACCGAACAGTTCTCGTGTACACTAGCATTTCCCGTAGCAATTTTGTCCGCGCTTTTCACATTATTCGAATTTTACTGGACGTCTTTTGACGCCTATTGGAAATGGGTTAATAAACGGAACTCTTTTATTTAACTTTTTTACTTTATTCGAACGGCCCGGAAAGACGTCTGCACGTTATGAAAAACGCACCGGAAGTGAAATAGAGCTTAATGAAAGTTTGGAACGCACTTAGAGAAAAGTAACCCTGCATAGTGTTTATTATCCAGGCCTTTAGAAATAAACGGTCATAGGTTTATCGATTCAATGGCTTTGGGTTAAAAATCAGTTGTACTAAAAGTAATGTCCTCAACAGGAGCTTCATTTTTGTACATGTATGTATCAAATAATCCAATGACGTCTCATTAAAAACACATGTTAGCAGCAAACCGACTAGTATAACGATCATTTTGCCCTTGCTTCCCATTTTATGATTCCATTTTTATCTTCTTTTCGTAAGTGTCGTGGAATCATCTTGTAAATTATAATTACTTTAATATAATGACAGTAATCTCTATTTAAATTACAATGCCGTAATTGTCACCAGAAATATTTTATTTAGCATAAAAGTCATTAAGGTAGAACAAAGAGCTTGACATTGATATTAGTTATCTTGTAAAAGATTTTCACGACTGATCGTCGACTAAATCCTCGTCTCAGAACAGGTGCAACGATCTCGTAACGCGCGATCTTGAATCGATCTGTCTTCCTAACGGAAAGAGCTCGCGCTTCTGCGGGACACGAGCCGATGACTGTACGTTTTATAAGTTACTGCATCGAATGTCGATCATACAACACCGTGATAATGTAATTACTCTCCATTGTCGCCGACGACAACGAGCCGAGTCAATCTTCTCGAATAATCAAACGCTTATTCGCAGAAACGGCGACCGGTTACCAACGACATGCTATCAGATCAATTCCGGTAAAATGAATTATTCCAAGATTTTCATTCATCGAATCAGGAATCAGCTGTGTTAAATTCTTCGCATTATTGCTATTGTGCCGATTATACATATGATACATAGTCTACAGACTTTTTCGTTCTCCTCAATCCAATACTTATTATTCAGTTCCTCATTCCTACATCTGAATCTTGCAATCGTGTTTTGATCTGTGCCTTCGTATGATTTACATAAATATCTTGCCACCTGACAAGCCCTAATTTCTCGATAGCGTTTCTTATATCTGCGACTTACCGTCTATGTTTATAGTGAAAAAATTATTGAACTCTTGTTCATATCATGTAGTAAGATATGATCATAACAATTAAGAAGATTATCAATAAAATACGAGGCACGTGATAGCGAGATAGCACAATGGGTATGCACGTACAAGTAGATCTGAAGTTTTAACGTTCTCCAACAGTTGTGAAACAAGATTATTTCGTAAATAGGTGTAACACTCTAAACAGATTTCCTTGAATATCAATATTATCAAGCAACGATAAAACTGCCACCGTATCTCTTATCATTCGTTATGATTCACCGCTATCAGAGAACATTTCGCATTACTCTCTGTAACATGTTTCGAAATAAAATTGTCAAGTATAAAGATGGTATCTAAACGCAGGTATTAAGTTCGTAATTAGAAGAAACCGATATAAAACCTAATCCACAATATTGTCATCATTGACACATTTCATCTTATATAAATATTTGTCATTTTTATGGACATTTTGTATACATATGCAAACACTTCTTACTTCTACAAAGCAATTGTTTTATTAAATCGATGTACGTTTCAATACTTAAGAATGTATTGGCTATATGTATAGTCAATCCCAAAAGTTTATATACCTTACAAAAACGCATTTCCTATGATTAAAAATAGTGCACTTTTCTTCTAATTTCGATATTTAATGAGTTAGGTATGATTATTTGGCATTTTATTGATGTTGACAAAATCCGACCATTCCAGCGTCAAAACGGCGAACTTTTAGAAAAAAATTTCGTTTTTCCTCAATAACTCCTAAACCCTTGGAGATACGGGAAAATTGCATAGGACCTTTCTTGTTGCCATTTATTTGAGCACAAGGCAAGGTTGCGCAATCCATGAAAAGCTTATTGGCAGATGGTTTTCTCCAGTACAAGAATAAAGCGTACTTATGTTAGTTAGCAATTAAATCGTATAAGATCAATCGTCTAAGAACAATTTTTTACAATCTGCCAAGCTAATGTTAGCGTAAAGTTGACGAAATTTCACAAGGCAGACTGTTTGGAAGTTGTTTCAAGAAACTACGTTCTTTTTACTAACTAAAGTTAATGTTTAAGTATGCATTAACACGTAACGAAGATTTTTAAGTACATCTATCTACAGCTTGTGGCTGTAAATATTTCCCCTATCAATGGCAGACTGTAAAAAATTGTTCCATTTTTTGTGTTACGAGCGCCCGGACTATA